CCGGCCGGTGCCCTCTCACAGTCTGGGACCCCTCGGGGAATGACTACCTGCTGGCTTAGGCCTGCTCCCCAAAGGATTGGGCCTAAGATGGCAATCAGACATCCCTCTGGCAGCCCGGCAGCCCTTGGCGGATGTCCACTTGCCAGCGGGGAGCAGACCTAAGCTGCAGTCAGACATCCTTAGCGCTGCTGAGGAGGCAGGAGAGGCTCCCACCACCACCGCTGTACTGGCAGCCATCAGCCTGGCTTGTGGCTGAGCAGAGCTCCCCCATGTGGGAGTGGGCTGACCACCAGAGGGCAGCTCCTTCATTGAGCATCTGCCCCCTGGTGGTCAGTGTGTGTCATAGTGACCAGTCATTCCCAGTCTTTCTGCTGTTAGGGTCATTTTGCATATTACCCTTTTACTATATAGGAGAGAGGCCTGGTGCATGGGTGGGGGCTGACTGGTTTGCCCTGAAGGGTGCCCCGGATCAGGGTGGGCGTCCTGCTTGGGTGCCTGGCCAGCCTGGATGAGTGGCTGATGGCTGTTTTCAGGCTGGCCACACCTCATTTAGGGTGGGGGTCCCCACTGGGATGCCTGGCCAGCCTGGGTGAGGGGCTGAGGGCCGTTTTCAGGCTGGCCGGCGACTGAAGCTCCCACCCTCTCCTTTTTCTTTTCTTTTTTTTATTCTGGGATTTATTTACCTTCTATAATTGAAACTTCGTTACTGTCACTGGAGCTGAGAGCCGGCTCTAGCTCGGAGGCCACAGCCTGCTGAAAGCAGGTATCTGGGGTTTATTTAGCTTCTATAATTGAAACTTTGTTGCTTTCGGAGCTTAGAGCCAGTGCCGGGGTCCAACCCCAGCGGGTCCAGGGGTCCCCAAAGGTGTGGACAGAGTCGGCGAAGAAGAGATGACATGGAGACAGCGTTCAGTTGATCAGCAGCCTAGCCAGGATCTCTAGCCAGGATCTCCAGCCAAGTTCTGGTCTGGATCTCCAGCGAAGTTCTGGTTAGGATCTCCAGCCAGGTTCTGTGTCCATGTTCTCTTGCTAGGTTCTCCAGCCAGGTTCTGTCCAGGTTCTCCAGCCAGGTTCAGTCACCAGGTTCTAGTCAGGTTCTCTTGCCAATTTCTGTAGTCAGGTTCAGTCCAGGATCTTTTGCCATGTTCTCTCGCTAGGTTCTGTCTCTAGGTTCTGAGGCCAGTTTCTGTCCAGGAACTTTTGCCATGTTCTCTCCAGCGAAGTTCTTCTGTCTCTAGAGAACGTTCTGTGTAGGTTCTGTGCCTAGGTTCCGTCTCTCCTCGTTCTGTCTTCTTACATCTGTATTTATACCAGTTGATTCCAATCCTATCAATCTCTATTTCAAAGGTTAGGGCATTTCTTATCTCCATTCCAGGGAGTAAAGATTATGTAGCTTAAGCATGATTGTTCGTAGTCAAAGTGATTAATTACCCACCTGGCACTTAGTTTTAAGAGGTTTTATTCCCTCCCTAACTTCAGGGGAAAATCCCTACCTGGGGAAACAACCTTTCTCAGAGACCTTGGTTAAAACACATAGTGCCAAGAAGGTGAGCAAACATATTAAGAACAGTATGCCATATATGCCAGGTCCCTTGAAACAGCAAGCATGGACCGGCTCCCGGCAAATTCCCCCTTTTTTATTTTTTAAAAGCAGGCATTAAAAAGAAAAACCCTAAATGCTCTCTTGTATCCATTTTAAGAGTAGGATTGGCGCTTTCCGCTATTACCTGAGTCCTGATCTATCACCCCAGGGAGAGCTTGCCAATCCTGCACTTTCCCGGGGTGGAAAGGCTGCAGTGGGGTTAAGGATAAGGCTCCTTGGGCCTCCTCCCATGCCTTTACATTTACCTTTCCTTCCTCAGAAAAGCATGGACATACTTCTTGTATAAAACGTTCTGTCTGACTGGGAGTAACCTTAATTCCTCTGCTAGCAAGCATATGTTAAAAGATCAATACAGAGTCTTATTTCTTTAGACTCAGTATGGCACATCTTCTTAATCTAAAGATCAATACAGAGTCTTCTTTCTTTGGACTCAGTATGGCACATCTTCTCAATCTAAGTTCTGTACTATCCACCTTCTTACCCTACTTATCCTCTATAGGGGGGTCTGTAGCACCCTGGTGGAGTCCTATCCGTCCCGAGTGTGGGGGTTCTCAATGGGGGGGGGAGCTTACCTAGGGGAATCCTGTTCCAGGGGTTCCCAAAGGTGTGGACAGAGTCGGCGAAGACTATCCACCCTCTTCCTGCGGTGGAGTCCTATCCGTCCCGAGTGCGGGGGGGCTTACCTAAGGGGTCCCTGTTCGGGCGCCATATGCCGGGGTCCAACCCCAGCGGGTCCAAAGGTCCCCAAAGGTGTGGACGGAGTTGGCGAAGAAGAGATGACATGGAGACAGCGTTCAGTTGATCAGCAGCCTAGCCAGGATCTCTAGCCAGGATCTCCAGCCAAGTTCTGGTCTGGATCTCCAGCGAAGTTCTGGTTAGGATCTCCAGCCAGGTTCTGTGTCCATGTTCTCTTGCTAGGTTCTCCTGCCAGGTTCTGTCCAGGTTCTCCAGCCAGATTCAGTCACCAGATTCTAGTCAGGTTCTCTTGCCAATTTCTGTAGTCAGGTTCAGTCCAGGATCTTTTGCCATGTTCTCTCGCTAGGTTCTGTCTCTAGGTTCTGAGGCCAGTTTCTGTCCAGGAACTTTTGCCATGTTCTCTCCAGCGAAGTTCTTCTGTCTCTAGAGAACGTTCTGTGTAGGTTCTGTGCCTAGGTTCCGTCTCTCCTCGTTCTGTCTTCTTACATCTGTATTTATACCAGTTGATTCCAATCCTATCAATCTCTATTTCAAAGGTTAGGGCATTTCTTATCTCCATTCCAGGGAGTAAAGATTATGTAGCTTAAGCATGATTGTTCGTAGTCAAAGTGATTAATTACCCACCTGGCACTTAGTTTTAAGAGGTTTTATTCCCTCCCTAACTTCAGGGGAAAATCCCTACCTGGGGAAACAACCTTTCTCAGAGACCTTGGTTAAAACACATAGTGCCAAGAAGGTGAGCAGACATATTAAGAACAGTATGCCATATATGCCAGGTCCCTTGAAACAGCAAGCATGGACCGGCTCCCGGCAAGCCAGGTCGCAGCAGGCGGGGAATCTTGGCTTCCTCCATCACTAGAGCAAGGAACCCTCCTGCTCGCTTAAGTTGCGTAGCTGCTGGCCGCCATCTTGTTTGGCGGTTAATTTGCATATCACCCTGATTAGCCAATGGGAAGTGTAGGGAAGGTACGGTCAATTACCCTTTTGTCTTTTATTAGATAGGATTTGTCCTAAGGCAAGGTGGAGGTAATACACTTCAAAGGGTAAGGTTTCAAAGGGTACAGAAGCATTGTCAGTTTGGGGAATAGCCTATGGCCGTTCAGATTTTTATCCAGTAGGAGGTAATAGCATGTAGATTAAGATGCCTTTTAGCTGTCTGGCAGCCAAGCAATAATCCCTTTTCAGGTTTGGGGAAATGCCTTCAGCCATTCCCAACATGTGACTACATGTGTGACTCAACCCTGTTGAGTCCCCAAGTTTCATCAACCTTTTGAAACTCTTGAAATTATGACATACTAGAATTTGTCTCCAACAAATGTCCATAAGTTTAGTACCTATGTTTTCGTCTCTGCAATTTATTGTTTCAGATCTTATATTTAGGTCTCTGTTCCATTCTGAATTCATTTTTGTACCTGGGGACAAACTGTGGTCTAGTTCATTCTTTTGCATGTTGCTTTCCAATTTTCCCAGCACCATTTATTGAAGAGGCTTTCTTTTCCCCATTGTACATTTTTAGCTCCTTTGTCAAAAATTATTTACCCACATACATGTGGTTTTATTTCTGGGCTCTCAATTCTGTTCCATTAGTCTGTATGTCTGTTTTTCTGCCAATACCATGCTTTATCATTGCTCTGTAGGATGATTTAAAGTCAGGTAGTCTGATATCTCTGGCTTCGTTCTTTTCTCAGGATTGCTTTGGCTATTTGGGATCGTTTGTGGTTCCATACAAATCTGATGACTTTTTATTCTGTTTCTTTAAAAAATGACATTGGGATTTTGATGGGGGTTGCATTAAATCTGACTATTGCTTTGGGTAATATAGCCATTTTAATTATGTTAATTCTTCCAATTCATGAATCTGGAATATCTTTCCATTTTATTGTGTCTTTTTCAATCTCTTTTAATAATGCGATGTAGTTTTCAGTAAATAGGTGCTTTACATTCTTTATTAAGTTTATTCCTAAGTATTTTATTCTTTTTGTTGCAATTGCAAAAGGAATGTATTTATTTTTTCTTTTGTTTCCCTTGTCTAAGGATATATATTAGAAAAAATATTACCAAGACCAATGTCAAAAAGTTTATTGCCTATGTTTTCTTCTAGGAGTTTTATGGCTTTGTGTCTTATATTTAAGTCTTTAATCCATTTTTAGTTTATTCTTGTATATGGTTTAAGAAAGTGGCCTAGTTTCATTTTTTTGTACTGTCCAGTTTTCTCAACATCTTTTGTTAAATAGACAGTCTTTACCACATTGTATATTCTTGCCTCCTTTGTCATAGATTAATTGACCATATTAGGCTTGAGTTTACTAGTATTTCTGGACTCTCTATTATAACATGACCAGTCTTGAAAAATGTCTATACTGTGTGTACAGTTAAAAGGTGAAAATAGTCATCTATGTTTGTCATGTTATATAATGTGGGAATGTATAATGAATTTTTTTGTAGTTTTATAATCTGTTTGGGCACAATGCTAGAAAATTGCATAAGCATTTGGATTATATCTTTCTAGTTTTAATATATTTACATAAATATAAAAATATATTTAGATACATATTCTAAGTAGAATAAGTGATCACTGATATTAACTGTATTTAGGTTCTCTAGAGTGAGTTATGACTTGTGGGATATTGTAGTTGAATATATATTTATGCTTTTGTTGACTAATTTAATTGTTATTTCTGTATACGCATTTTTTCTCAAGTGTGTGTTTATATAAATAAACATGGAGACTGTGGCCCTTACCTGGATCAGAATAAAATCCAGCAGTTGCCTGACCACTTTGGCCCGGGCCCTGTGAATGTGGTGCTCCGGCGTACTGTGCAGGCTTGTGTGGATTGTGGCATTGACAGTAAGGCTGTTTTTGGATTCCTTAAGGCAGATAATCGTGGAGGAGAAGTAATAACTGGTATGCTCATCTAATTCTTTATTCAGCTTTTTTTCCTAATTTGATTTTCAGAGGGCAAAGATTTTATAATATGTAGATTATTTTATAATATTTCTATTCTTTTAACTGTTTATAATATTAGAATATTTATTATATTGATATAATAGAATATAATAGTTACATGTTTATAGACTTGTAACCCCGTTTAACTTTACTTTTGAAATATACAATGTCAGAGTAATACTGTAACATGAGACAAAAGGTACAGATATTTTTTCTTTTACATGCTTTGCTAAGCTCATGTACAAAGTACCTTAATGATAATAAATTGTAATTTTTTTTTAGAAAACAGACTGATTTATAAGAAGCTCTAAATAAAAATGTGACTCAAGAAGTGATTCAGAGATAAATATACAGCTTTCATGATTTTGGGTCAGATACTATGACATTTGTACACATGCAATGTTTGAAATAGTAGAAAGTGTTATAGATCAGTGAGTGGGTTTCTGTTGTTTATTTTATGAATATTTTTAAATGAGAATGATTTCACAAATATAAGTTATGTTTTAATGGGAGGAACTTTTATAATTTAAGGTTATTCCTTCTTCGTAAATTACAAAACCCCCACAAATTAGAGTTATATTACATTTCCTAAATGTAATATGATGGCTTATTTTGGATAATCATTGTAGTTCTCATCTTTCTGTGATATAATTCTGATACATATGTTTTCTTGTAATAGCCTCCTTTGATGGGGAAACTCATTCCATCCAGCTCCCTCCAGTGAACAGTGCATCATTTGCTCTTCGCTTTCTTGAAAACTTGTGCCATAGCATGCAATGTGATAACCTTTTGAGTAGTCAGCCTTTTAGTGCTTGCAGAGGTAATATTCTTAGTACTGCAGAGGATGATAAAAATAAACCAGGTAAGAGAAAATGTAAAATTTTATAATGTACTTTTGTTTTATATTACAAATTATAATTAACTCAAGAATCTTGTTTAATGCAGTTTTTCCTTGTGTCCTTCTCAGAGTAAACATTTTATCTACAATGATAATTAGACATGTTTAATATACTAGAGGCCTGTTGCATGAAAATTCATACACTCGGGGGTGTGGGGTCCCTCAGCCTGGCCTTCACTCTCTCACAGTCCAGGACCCCTTGGGGGATGTCCACCTGCCAGCTTAGGCCCGCTCCCCGGGGGATCAGGCCTAAGCTGGCAGTCAGACATCCCTCTGGCAGCCCAGGAGCCCTCGGAAGATGTGTTACTGCCATCAGTTGGACATCCTTAGTGCTGCTGAGGAGGTGGGAGAGGCTCCTGCCACCTCCGCCGCTGCTCTTGCAGCTGTCAGCCTGGCTCATGGCTGAGCAGAGCTCCCCCTGTGAAAGTGCATTGACCACCAGGGGGCAGCTCTTGCGTTGATTGCTCCCTGGTGGTCATTGCACATCATAGCGACTGGTTGTTCCGGTCATTCTGATTGTTTCACCGATTAGGGTCAATTTGCATATTAACCGCAGTCCCAACAACAACAACAAAAATCACAGACATTCCAGAAAACTGGGATCTTAAGCCAGCCAAAGGAATGACATTTCAATTTTTCATTTTTATTTTTTTATTATTATTTTCTTAGCTTTCTTTTTTTTTTTTTTTACTTCTTTCTTTGTTCTCCTTTTTTTTTGTTTGTTCCTTTATTTCCTATTTCTTTTCACATTACTTTTTCAACCACGTGAGCAGCAGACATGTGAGCAGCGTGCTCTTGTCCAGGGAGCATCAGCCCCGTGAGCAGCCTGCCTCGAGCCTAAGAGAAGCAGCTTCATGTGGCCTGCCCCTGTCCAGGGAGCAGCAGCTGTGTGAGCAGCCCGCTTCCCCATCCGAAGAGCGACAACCATGCGAGCAGTCCGACTTGTCTGAGGAGCAGCAGCCGCATGAACAGTCTTCCTACCTCTGAGGAGCTACAGCCTTGCGCAGCCCGCTCCCATCCGAGGAGCAGCAGCTGCGCACAGCCTGCACCCTACACTAGTCTGAGGAGCAGCAGCTGCACAAGCATCTTGCCCTCGCCCAAGCAGCAGTAGCTGCACGAGCAGCCTGCCCAATCGGAGGAACAACAGCTGTGTGAGCAGCCTGCCCCCATCCGAGGAGCAGCAGTTCTGTGAGCGGCCTGGCCCCATTAGAGGAGCAGCAGCAGCCCACCCAGGCCCGAGGAACAGCAGCCACACGAGCAGACCGCCCACATCCGAGGAGCTGCAGCCCTACGCAGCGCACACCAGTTTGAGGAGCAGATCCACAACAGCCTACTCCTGTCTGATGAGCAGCAGCCAGTCCTAGGAGCAGTAGCCCCACAAGCAGCCCACCACATCAGAAGAACAACAGCAACATGCAGCCAGCCCCCATTCAAGGATCAGCAGCCACATGAGCAGTCCGCCCCAGTTCAAAGAGTAGCAGCTGCTTGTGTACCTCGCCCCCATCCAAGGAACAGCAGTCTCGTGATCAGCACACCCTCTGTCTGAGGAACAGCAGCTGTGTGTGAAGCCTTCCCCCACCAGCCAGAGGAGCCACCACAGCTGTGAACAGCACCCACCAGAGGAGCTGCTGTCAGTTGAGGAGCAGCTGCTACCACAACCGCCCAAGGAGCAACCACAGCCCGAGGAGCCACTGCCACCCAAGGAGCAGCCCCTGAATAATTCAACATCTAGATATATCGGTGAGATCAAACATGGGTAGACAAAGAAACCCCCAAAGGAAAGAAAAGGAAGAGGCACCAGAAAAGGAGCTAAGCAATACAGAGGCATGCAGCATGATAGAAAAAGAATTCAGATTAAGGGTCCTAGAATGCATAAACTGGATGGAGGAAAAAAATCAACCACTTATGCAAGAATCAAGAAGAAACGGATGAAAAAATCTACAACTTATGTAAGAATCAAAAAGAAACGGATATGAAAAAAATCAATAAATTATGTAAGAACCAAGAAGAAATGAAGAGTGATATAGCTGCAATAAAAAACACCATTGAAAGTTTCAACAGTAGACTAGGAGAATCGGAGGACTGAATTAGCGAATTAGAAGACAGGGAAGCAAAACACACCCAAACTGCACTGCAATTGGAGAAAAAAATTAAAAGACAGGAGGAGAGCCTAAGGGAGCTATGGGACAACATACGAATAATAGGGGTGCCAGAACAACAGAAAGAGGAACAAGGGTTAGAAAATCTATTGGAATAAATAATATTAGAAAACTTCCCTGAGGTGGGGAAGAAAAAAGTCACACAAGCACAGAGAGTCCCAAAGAAGGTGAACCCGAAAAGAACCACACCAAGACACATCATAATTACCATGGCAAATGTTCAGGACAAAGAGAGAATCTTAGAGGCTGCAAGAGAGAGACGGAAAGTTACATACAAGGGATCTCCCGTTAGATCATCAAATGACTTTTCAGAAACACATCAGGCCAGAAAACAATGGATGGAAATTTACAAAGTGATGCAAAGCAAAGGACTGAATCCAAGAATACTCTATCCAGCAAGGCTATCATTCAAAATTGAAGGGGAAATAAGCTTCTCAGACAAAAAAAAGGCTAAGGGAGTTTATCATCACCAAGCCAGCAATGTAAGAAATGCTAAAGGGACTGGTGTAAAAAGAAGAAATAAAAAGCTCAGAAAGAAAACAGCCACAAAAAATAGAAATGGCTACAAACAAGTACCTTTCAGTAATAACTTAAAACGTAAATGGACTAAATGCTCCAATCAAAAGATATCCAGTGGCTGAATGGATAAAAAAACATGACCCATACATTTGCTGTCTACAAGAGACCCACCTCAGAAGAAGGGACTCACACAGACTGAAAGTGAAGGGATGGAAAAATATCTTTCAGGCAAATGGAAATGAAAAAAAAGCTGGGGTAGCAATACTTATGTCGGACAGACTACACCTGAAAGTGAAGGCCATAACAAGAGATAAAGAAGGCTACTTCGTAATACTAAAGGGATCACTACAACAAGAGGATATAACCCTGATAAACATATATCCACCCAATGCAGGAGCACCCAAATACATAAAAAAAGTCCTGGAATATATCAAAGGAGAGATCGGCAACAATACAATCATAATAGGGGACTTTAATACACCACTGACATCACTGGATAAATCCTTTAGACAAAAAATTGGCAAAGAAACAGCAATCCTAAACGACTCACTACATCAGATGGACTTAATTGACATCTTCAGAACATTTCACCCCAAAGCCACGTAATATATATTCCACTGAAGTGCTCATGGGACATTTTCAAAAATAGACCACATATTGTGTCACAAAGTCTCCCCAAATTCAAGGAGATTGAAATCATACCAAGCATCTTCTCAGACCACAATGACATAATATTAGAAATAAAGTACAATAAAAACAACCCAAAATACTCAAACAATTGGAAGCTAAATAGCATGTTATTAAATATTGATTGGGTTACCAATGAGATCAAAGAAGAAATTAAACATCCTGGAAAGTAATGACAATGAAAAAACAATCCAAAGCCTATGGGACACAATGAAAGCAGTACTGAGAGGGAAGTTTATAGCTCTACAGGCCTATCTCAACAAACAAGAAAAAATGGTAGTAAATCATCTAACTCTACATCTCAAAGAATTAGAAAGAGAGCAACAAGAAAACCCCAGAGTGAGCAGAAGGAAGGAGATAATAAAGATCAGAGCAGAAATAAATGACATAGAAATAAAAAAAAAAATACAGAAAATCAATGAAACCAAGACCTGGTTCTTTGAAAGAATAAACAAGATTGATGAACCTCTAGCCAGACTCACCAAGAAGCAAAGAGAGAGGACCCAAATAAACAAAATCAGAAATGATAGAGGCGAAATAACAACAGACCCCATAGAAATACAAATGATTGTTAAAAAATACTATGGACAACTCTACTCCAACAAACTAGACAACCTGGAGGAAATGGACATATTCCTAGAAAAATACAACCTTCCATAACTCAATCAGAAAGAATCTAAAAATCTCATTAGGCCAGTAACTATGGAGGAAATTGTAGCAGTCATCAAAAAGCTTCCAGCAAACAAAAGCCCAGGACCAGACAGCTTCACAGGGGAGTTTTACCAAACATTCAAGGAACACCTAAAACCTATCCTCCTCAGACTACTAAAAAAATTCAAGATGAAGGAACACTTCCAAACTCATTCTATGAAGCCAGCATCACCCTAATATAGGTGTGGGCAAACTTTGACTCGAAGGCCACAATGGGTTCTTAAAGTGGACCGGAGGGCCGGAAAAAAAGCATGGATGGAGTGTTTGTGTGAACTAATATAAATTCAAAGTAAACATCATTACATAAAAGGGTACGGTCTTTTTTTTTTTTTTTTTTTTTTTTTTTTTAGTTTTATTCATTTCAAATGGGCCGGATTCGGCCCGCGGGCCGTAGTTTGCCCACGGCGGCCCTAATACCAAAACCAGGTAAAGATAACACAATGAAAGAGAATTACAGGCCAGTATCCATCATGCCAAAATCCTCAACAAAATCTTAGCAAATTGGATCCAGCAGCACATCAGAAAGATCATACACCATGACCAAGTAGGATTCATCCTAGCGATTCAAGGATTGTATAATACCCGCAAAACAATAAACGTGATACATCACATAAACAAATTGAAAGAAAAAAACCACATAGTCAAATCAAATGATGCAGAAAAAGCATTTGACAAAATCCAACACCCATTTTTGATAAAAACTCTCAGCAGGGTGGGAGTAGAAGGATCATAAAGTTAATAAAAGCCATATATGACAAACCACAGCCAACATCATACTCAATGGACAAAAAATAACGACATTTCCCCCAAGATCAGGAACAAGACAGGGATGCCCACTCTCACCACTCCTGTTCAACATAGTACTGGAAGTATTAGCCATTGCAATTA